TGGGGGAAAGGGGATGCCGAGGTGAGGGCGTTAGCTTCCTGGAAGGCCAAAAGGGCCAACCAGAATAAGTTTAGCTTAACTGAGGATGAGGAGGAGGAAGTGGGGAGGTTGGTGAGGAAGAGGGGGGATGTGTTGAATATCATGGACCTCACCAGCGCAGCATGCATAGAGGCTGCTGAGCTCTATGGGCCAAGCGCTCTGAGTGAAGGTTTGTTTGACATATACTGTAGCGCTAAATGTAGAATATAGAATTGTGACTAATATTGTGTTTTTTGCTTTGCAGCTGACATGAATCAATTTTTGGACACTACTGGAGGAAAGGCTATCCCTAAGAAGCCAAGGAAGAAGTCAAGGACTTCAACCAAACAAGTGGATGAGGGGAGAACTGGGAATGAGGTAGTGCTCACTGCTTCAGCTGGAATAGAGGAGGAGGTGCCAGCGCTGAAGAGGAAGGGCTGGGAGGAGAGGAAAGTAGTGCAGAAGAAACAGAGGGTAGGGGGGGAGGAGGAGAGGGCGGATGAGGTCCCTATGTTCGTACCTCAGCCTCCTCCTTTTGAGCTGAACCCTGAGCTCAGACAGTTGGAGGAGGGGGCTGAGGTACGAGCTCCTGGAAAGGGAAAGGGTCCTATTCCCCCGCTGGGGCCTTAGAGCAGCCTGTTCGAGGCGAATAACATGACGGGGGCAAGGTGGTTCATCAACAACACCTTCCCCGAAGTGGACCAATGCTACGCGCGGGAGGAAGCTCTGAGGTATGGTGGAGCATCCGTGGTGAAGCACGTTCTAGAGGTATGTTAAAGTAGTGGTGTGGTGCATTGAAATTGCTTCAGTTTCTCTTCGTTCTTCTCCTTCTCTCTTTTTAACTTCAGTTTTGATATGCAGAGCGCAAGCTGGGTGAATGGTCTAGCCCAGGAATTCAGGGAGAGCCTGAAGGATCGCACACTCTTGCAGAGGCAGCGAGACCAGCTGCAGAAGGAGAAGGAAGAGCTGGAGAAGAAAAATAAAGAACTACAAGAGTCTCTGGACGAGGTGGTTCCAACTGTGAAGCAGTTGGAACAGGAGAGGTCGTCCCTGGGCACCAAGCTCGGCTTTGAAGAGACCAAGCGAAAGATCTCTGAAAGCGAGCTTGAGGCTCTGGCGCAAGAGTTAAAGCTGACGAAGGAGGCTTTCTTGGAGCTGAAGGGGAATGTGTAGACCCTAGTGCACAATGGGATGAAGGAGCACATCGGCAACTTCATCAGCTCCAGCTCGTTTGACAACATCGTCAACTTGTACCGGCTGCCTACTGCCATCATCGCTTTCACAGACTGCAGAAAGAAGGTGAAGGCTACATATCCCGAAGTGGATGTGACAAAGATCACCTTTGGCAAGCAAGAAGGAGGAGTGGAGGAGGACGGTGAAAGCATGTCAGCAGACTTCCGTCCTCAAATCAAACTGAGGTGGGAGGATGATGCTAACGGACGTGCTGTTTTCCCTCCATAGTTCGACTTCGAGTTCATGGCAGTGGAGGAAGAAGGGGCAAAGGTAGAGGAAGACGAGGTGGAGGCAGGAGTGGAAGGAGCTGGAGTGGATGAGAGCCAACCAATTCCAGAAGTGGAGATTCATCCAGTTCCTTCTGACGATGAAGAGCCTCCCCTGCCAGACGAGCAGCAGCCAACACAGCCACCTGCTCCAGCTGAGCAGGAGCCAGTGGAGCCACCTCTCCCAATAGAGAAATAGTTTTTGTTTTTTGATTTTTAATTTTTTGTAGAGCATTTAAACAGTTTGTAACACTTTTATTACATTAAATGAAATTTCAGTGTTGAAATTATATATGTGTTTATGTTTGCTTTATATTTTTTGTTGTTTTTTACGAATAAAAGAACTGAGAGTACTTGAGACAAATTAAGAAGAATTAAGAAGAAGTAATTCACTTCGGACGAGTTAAGAAGAAGTAAGCCACTTTAGAGATTAACCAAAGTAATTCACTTCAGATGAATTAAGAAGAAGTACGTCATTGCGAACAAATTAAAAGGAGATAAAGCACTTCAAATGTGAAGTGATATTTGTTAACAGAAGGGAATGAACTGATTGACCTTAGATACATAGAATAAGAGGTAAAATGATTCTCAATAAACACGAAGTGAGAAACGTAAAGAACAGTAAGACTTAAAACACTTGAAAAAATTTTATTAGGGGTAAAATTTCTTCAAGTTATTGACATTCCAGACTCTAGGAACTCTCTTTCCTTCAGCGTCTTGGAGAATATAAGCACCAGGATGTGGCACCTCGGCCACGGCATAGAGGCCTTCCCAATTTGGGGCAAGTTTGCCAAAACGAGTTTCAAACCCCGTTAGGCCAGCTTTTCTGAGAACAAGGTCTCCTACTTTGAATGTTCGAGGGCGGACCCGCTTATTGTAGAAGTTGGCTAGTTTCTGCTTGTATACAAGAGTTCGAAGCCGAGCTTCTTCTCTGACTTCAGCAAGCAGATCAAGGTTTTCCCGAAGCAGTTGTCCATTTCGTTCTTCATCGAAATGGGTGACCCAGAAGCTTGAGACTCCTATCTCAACAGGAATGACTGCTTCGGTACCAAAGGCCAGGTGGTAGGGTGTTTCACCTATTTCAATTAATTATAACTTTAGAATGCGCTTTATGTGTTATGCATATTTGCTCTAAGGTAAGGCGTAACAGAAGAAGTAAAATGATATAGAAATTAATCAAATAGATTTGGTTTAATGTAGTACCTGTGGCAGTTCGGCTCATGGTTCTGTATGCCCAGAGGACGTTATTGAGCTTGTCTGCCCACTTGGCCTTATGTTGCTCCAATCTCGGCCTTATACCTTCCAGGATGCATTTGTTAACAGATTCAACCATGCCATTGGACTCCGGATGGTAAACGGAGGTGAACTGTAACTTGATCTCATAACTGGAGCAGAAATCTCGAAATGAGGAGCAATTGAATTGAGTTCCGTTATCAGCCACAATCTGATTTGGGATCCCATATCTGCAGATGATCGAACTGAAAACAAAATCTTCAACTTTCTTAGAGGTAAGACTAGATAAAGGTCGAGCTTCAACCCACTTCGTGAAATAATCCACACTAACAACCAGATGGGTTACACCACCAACCCCTTTCACGAATGGGCCTAAAAGATCCAGTCCCCACTGAGCAAATGGCCACGGGGCTACCATGTTTGTGAGCTCTTCTGCTGGTTGATGAGTCAGATGTGCGAAGAATTGACATTTCGGGCATTTCTGAACAAAGTAAGTGGCATCTTTGTACATGTTTGGCCAGTAGTATCCCTGCCTTAAGACTTTGTGAGCCAGAGTCCTAGCACCGACATGGCTCCCACAGACACCCTCATGCACCTCTCGAAGTGCATATTCAGCTTCATAAGGGTTTAAACACCGTAGAAGAGGAAGTGAGAAAGATCTCTTATATTGGACTCCATCAACAAGTGTATACCGAGATGCTTTCTTCCTCAATTTCAGTGCCTCCTGCCCGTCCTCAGGTACTATCCCATCTCGTAAGAAGGAGACAATTGAATCAATCCAGCTCAGCGCATCAGGGTTTGTGCTAATCTCCATCACCCGAGGTTTCGTGAAGCTTGGTTGATCTAAGACCTCTACAAAAACGGACCTGGAGCTTAAAGAGCTGTCAGAGGCAAACTTAGAGAGTGAATCTGCCTGTTTATTCTCAGCTCGGGGAATTTTACTCAGACAGAATTTCTGGAATTTGCACTTCAGCTCGGCCACCAAGGCTGCATACTTCACCATCATAGGATCAACGACTTCGCAAATAGAGTTGATTTGGTTCACCACCAGCTGGGAGTCACTGTACACTTGAATTGCACTGATTTTCAACTCTAATGCTAGTTGTAGGCCAAGTAGCAGAGCTTTATACTCAGCCATATTATTTGTCGAATCAAAGTTGAACTTCAAAGCATGTTCGCTTCGATAACCGTCGGGACCAATCAAAAGAGCACCAGCCCCTGAACCCTTGCTACTAGATGCTCCGTCAACATATAAAGTCCATTCGTTGAGTTCTGGAGTAGAGGTTGAGGGACATGGAGTGCATTCGACAATGAAATCTGCTAGTGCTTGAGCTCGGATGGTCGATCTCTGCTGAAACGTGATCTCTGCTGAAACGTGATCTCAAACTCCCCCAGTTCTACTGCCCACTTAATTAATCTTCCAGAGCACTCTGGTTTCTGCAGAATCTGCTGGAGAGGTTGATCTGTAAGAACGATAATTGGGTGTGATTGGAAATACGGCCTCAACTTCCTAGCCGAGGTGACAACTGCTAATGCTGCTTTCTCAGCTATAGGATACCTCAGCTCTGCCCCGTGCAGCACACTGCTGATATAATAGATTGGTTTCTGTTGTTTGGCTTCCTCTCTCACCAGAACCGAACTGATGGCCTCATCTGAAATCCCCAGGTACAAGTAAAGAATCTCTCCATCTACAGCCTTAGTCAACAGAGGTGGTGAGCTAAGATAAGACTTCAGCTCTTCAAATG